TGTGTGTGTGTGTGTGTGTGTGTGTGTGTGGGTGGGTGGGTTAAATCAAATGAGAACCACAAAAAAACATTACAAACCCGTGATAACCCATTTAAAAATAAATTTTTACATGATTTTTTTTCAATAAAATGTTAGGACTTAAGATATTCTTTCACATATATTTGTTTCATAATGTGATAGTTTCATATGTATTTGTTTCACCATATGAATATTTTTTATGTGTATTTTTCGTTTTACTAAGTGAATCAGAAAAAAAAAGTTTCACATGCAAATTTTTCATATAGCAAACACAAACATATGCGAATCAATATGTTAAATCATAGTTTTTGATTAAAAAATAATATAAAAAATATTTTTATATAGGTTCTCATATGTTTGTAACATTTTTGTGGTTCTCATTTGATTATCCTCCATCTCATCTCTTTCTTTCTCTCTCTCTCTCTCTATATATATATATCTATATATATATATATGTGTGTGTGTGTGTGAGAGAGAGAGAGAGAGAGATAACCGATTTATCGGTTATAAAATTTTGGGATTGTTTTCGAATAATGGTGGAAAGTTGAGGAGGTTAATTTGGTTATGTGCTTAAATATTTTATAACCACCACCGCCTCTTATTATTTGATTATTATTATAAGATAATTATTTTATCACACTGGGATGATAAATAAATAAAAAAGTTGGTAAAACTTCTGTGTGTGTGTTTTGAACTCGAGTAAACAGAAAGAAGGGAAGAACAGAAGAAGAAGTTGATTCTGTGATTATTAATCTGAATACTTGCTGCTGTTTATTTTCATCTCTATGAACTAAGATGAGTTTTAATTTATAAACTTTCATCTTACAGTGTTTAACATAACCATATGGTTTTATACGTGGGGAACTTTTGAAACTGTTTTTATGCTATTTTTAGCATAATTTTATATTTTGATATGATTTTATCATCTGATTGTAATAAAGGTGACATAATCAGGAATATGTATATTTTGTAATAAGAGTGACATAATTAGGAAATGAATATATTTTGTAATAAAGGGTGACATAATCAAGAGATGAATATATTCTGTAATAAGGGTGTCATAATCAGGAGATGAATTATTCTGTAATAAAGGTGTCATAATCAGGAGCTAGATCACTATATCAACATAGCTGGAGAACACTGTACAACATTAACAACATATTGTGATACTGTTTTAATTATTGGGCACTTGTTCTTTGCAATGCACAGTAACATAGATTATGAATTTTACAATTTATTATTGTTCTTTTGACTTTTGTTTACTTTGAGTTTGACATTACCGCATTACATTTAGGGGACGTTTGATTGGTTTTTTATTAAGTTCTATATAGATAAAGTTGTCTGTATGAATTAATTTGTTTGTATAAGATGGAAAAGTTTTTGTTTAATAGAGTTTTTTCGAAGATGTAAGGGGCGTTTTTTTAGTTGGAAGGGACATGTTTGGAAAAAAAAAACTTGACTTTCTATATAAAGCTCTCCTTATAAGCTTACTGGATAAGTCATTTTCTATAAGCCACTACGAAACAATCATGCGTAGTTGAGCAAATAAGTTGTTAGTTCCATTAAGTTGTTAATAGATAGGCCCTTAGCCTTTGGTCGTTACACCTATAACTTTTGAGTTTTATTTTTTGCTTACTATGACAGTAATTTAGATGTAATTTACTATTTTAGTTAAAAACTAATGATAGTTTTGCTTGTTTGTTAAGTCCCATATTTTGAAATAAGGTTTCTATTTTGCTAATTTCAATTTAAAAAAAAAGAAAACTGGAAAAGAAGGAATCACGATCTTAATCCATGATTTATTTTTTTATCATTCTATATTTTGTATTTTAGGGTTTTGGTTTTTATGTCTCCCCATTGTATTTTTTAAATTATAATTAATAAAAATCAACATGGGAATGAGACACTTAACTTGAATAGTTTCCAAACTCTTTAAAAAATTGCATGTTTCGTTGTTTCATTGGCTTAAATAAATAGGCTTAGAGGCATCTTTTATTATTTCCGCACAGGGCATCAAAAATACTAGGACCGGCCCTGTATACAAATATGGGTTTGTAAAAATGTTTTGGTGAATTTTCACTCTGTAATAGCAATCAAAAAGGGAAATTTTCACTAGAAACATGGTCTAACCCTCATTTGTGTTTTAAAATGTGCATTACAGTTGGGGTACAACCGGAGAAAAAAAGAAAGGGAAAATTATAGAGGGATCATGATTGCTTACATATATGGATTTTTGGAAGATGTAATGTTATCTGTACCTGAATATTCGTTATATTTACAAGTCTTGTACTGAGTATATAGTAGGACCAAATAGTTAAAACCGTCCCGATCCCTGTCGGGGATATTATCGGGGATCCCCATCGGGTCCCCGCGGTTTCTCCGATTCCCGTTGGGGAACCGGTTAAGGGTAAAAATTCTCTTTTTCACCGTTGGTTATAACCGAAAACGAAACCCGAAACCGATCTGAAAAAAATTACAATATGCTAATTTTTACAATTAAAAGTAAATTACAATTTTTTTTTAAAGATGTAAGTTTAAATGTCTCAAACATAATCAAACCAAGTACAAACAATGTATTAGATTACAATATAAAATCAAACAGAAATTTAAACATCATACAACTAAAATTACGACTTTAGACAAATAAACTAGACTTTTTCATAAACTTTATTTGGGTTATTGAGATAAAGTGGATAAAAGTCTTTTAAATTTTAATGTTACTATTTTCTTTTAACGATACTATATATAAATTAAAATTAATATATATACAAATAGGGCCGGGCCGGGCCGGTGATCACTGATCACCGTCCCCGCCCTCGTTAAAATCCCCGAATTTGTCCCGATCCCCGCCCTGCCCCCGATAAGATGTCCCGGAACCAGGCCTGAAAGTTTCGGTTTTTGATTTTCACCATGATTTCGATTTTTCCCCCATCCCTAATTGAGTTTAACTGATTGGATTCAAGGCATTAGATTTGTGTAGAAATAAATAACTGATTGCTTGTCATTCATTTTACGTGTCAGTGATAATAGATAATTCTTTTCAGAAACAATGTGTACACCCGTGAAGCCAAAATCTTATAAAAATGATTGGAAAAAACCGAAAAGTACTTGACATCTGGTTTTGTTAAATGAAACTATTTTATTTTATTTTATGTTTTTTATCAGTCTGGATATTCAAGCAGCTATGCGAGCCGACTGATCCCAAGACGACCACCCGAAGTCACTGTATTTAAACCTCCGTAGTCACAAGGAGAATTTTATTTCTCCTTAGATTTGAACCTAAAATCTCCAGATACTTTTCACAGTTATGAAAGTATTTTATTAAAATCAAACATCATATAACCGCAATTTTGACAATGAAAACCCAAATCTTTAAAATATATGTTGTTGTGTGACTAATTTTATTTATAGGATGAAAAAAATATACATATAAGAATGATCATTCTAAATTCTATATAGGGGTATAATAGTAATTTGCTCTTAATAGATTTTTAAATGGTGAAGTAGTGGCATCCCCTTATTTATTGGTCTATAATTATAATCAACTTGATAATAACACATTATTTTAATGTCACTCATGTATTATTTTTTTAATAATTAAAATTGTCAGAAATTTAAGTTTTAAATTAATAATACCACTTATTTATTGATTTATAATTTTTCTAAACACGAACTCTTTTTATGTTAGGGTGTGATTGGTAATTTCGACATGATACCATACAAATTTATTGTCCATCTTATTAAATAATATGTAAAATAATGCATGTGAGAATGAAGTGTTTATATAATGATGTTTTCTTATATGAATCGTTTGTGACTATTTTTACTCACAAAACAGCCATGGTGGACCTAGTTAAGTGTCATGAGTGACATGTGTCATCGTATTGTTTCTCTGTCGAAGGGTAAAAAATTCAGGTTTCGTGAACGGTGCAGCCGTATTAATTTGTTGTGTGCCATCATATGTATTTTGAAACTACAATGAGAACAAGTTTTATTTGGTAGAGTTGGTTTGCAAGGCTTTTATTCCACCTCACACCCAAGTCCGAATCATGTTAGTGTCATTTTCTTAGTCAAACGGTGTCATCGTTTGAAAAAATTATGTATATTTGTTTCTTATAGTCAACCCGTGTCACCGTTTGAAAAAAAATTTCCTATATTTTTTTTCTTATGGTCAAATTGTGCCACCGTTTTAAAAAAATTCTGGGTCTGTCACTAAAAACAACCATGAATCTTTCATATGTGAAACAATAATGTTTAAACATTATATTTTTACATGTGAAACAACACATGTAAACTTATATTATTTATTATATTTATAAATGATTATACATCATATCCTTTGTAAATTGTAATAGAATATGTAATTAGAGTTGGGTTTCGGTGAGAAGAGAAGTTACGGTGATAAACGTAATAAAAGATTTTCATATTTGAATCAATCATTATTAAATGTCAACACTAATGAAGTGCATCTGATCATTTCTTTTCTAAATCATAACTCATAGATAAACACGAGATTAAAAATATTAAAAATTCATATCTTTTAATACATTTACCATCCTAACTTCTCTTCTAAAGGATGAATGGACTTGAATGAAACAAGTTTGTGAGGGCGATGACATGCAGCCGCTTTTATCCCCAACCCAACCAACAACAAGCACCCTCCTCCACCCCCCTGCCGTATTTATTTGGATTACTTTTTCTCTCTCATCGAATCTCTCTCTCTCTCTCACACACACACACACTCTTTATTTCAGCTTTCATCGGGTCCTAAATAGCATACCTTAAGGACCCATTTCATGGATTCCTTCCTACTTGCAGCACAACTTCCATTACACACTCTCTTTTCCTCTTTCTCTCTCTAACAATCCATAGTGATATTGGATTTACCTTTTTACGTGTTCTAATGGGCTCTGCTGCAAACTGCTCGATTCATTTTGGTAATGTGGTAATGGATTGCTGTTCTTGATGAATACCACTTCCCCCATCATGGATTCTTGCTCTTTTGAAGGTAATCAATCAATATCTCAATCAATCAATCCAATTTTCCTACTTGATTTAACTTTTTCCTTTGTGGGGTTTTCGATTCTTTAACTTATTTTATCTGGGGTTTGATTGTTCTTCAACATATTTGCTTGTCATGTTAATAAAGATTTGGTTTCTTTTGTCATCCACCCACAAAAAAAGATGGATTTTTGTTGAAGAAGTTTCACCTTTTTAATCGGATCTAGCTCTGATAGAGAGTAATAATACTGCATGTTTGTTTTGTATGACCTCGTGATTCACATCATCTGTGCCAGCTAATCCTTCACAGAAATTATTGGTCCTATCTGTTTATCTTGACTCCCTCTGTCTCTCCCCCTTTCTGTACGGATCAGTTTTTATTTCCCACCAACAGATTCAAGATCATAATGAATCTTGAATTACCAAGGTATCATCACTGCTTCTTTTCTTCAAAATTTTCATAAGTTAATGACGGATATAGATAAATTATACATACATACATACATATATATATATATGTATATATATATATATGTATGTATATTAGGTCTCATGTAGTTTATCTTTACAATTAGTGTATGATTGTATTGCAGTTGGGTTTCTGAATGGTTATGATTCTATTCTTGATCTTGGTTGGTTGATAAAGATGATTAATCTTATAGAGGTTTTAGTCAATTCTGTTATCTTAGAACATGGCTTGTTTAAGCTTCTTGATACTTGCCTTTATTATCATTGCTGTGATGCTTAAAGTATCAAACGATTCGATTGATCATCCGCAATTGTTCTTGAGAGTTCTCCTGAGGAGATCCTAGTCTTCTAATGCACACTTGTTAAGACTTTTCCCTCTTTTTGAACCAAACCAGACTACCCCTTTACATCCCGACAGGGGGTGGGGTCCGGCTAATATATGCAGAACTGAGCTCTACCCTAAAGACCAGAACAAACGTTTTCTCTTTATACCCTTATGAAATTGTCATCCGACATCGTTAAATCATGAAAACCAGAAGAATGAGTGGGATAATCAAGGTGTGGCACCAGCTTCCGCCTGCTGCTTCCTGCTGTTAAACGAAAAACATTAGTATGATAATACAACAACAATGTTCTTGAGGCTATGCAAGTGGAACTCTAAAAACAATGAAAAGTGAATCTTGCAAACCCCACCCCACACTTGCAATTTTTCCTATTTTTTTGGGTATTTTAAAGTCAAATTTAAAGCAAACATTTTTAAAAGATAAACTCAAGAATACACACAGCCCTGTTATTTTGGGACAGTAGAAGGCATGGCAAGGCTGTCTTTATCAGTTTCAAGTCAACCTTTATATATATGTTTTGGTGTAACCATTCTTAATTATATATATTATACACATATAATATATATATATATACAACAAACACACAGACACACAGACACAAAGTTGTGCGATGAATCTCACAACTGGCAATGACATAATAATATATCATCATTTAAACGTAATTTTAGTCTAAAGAAAGTTTGATTCATTGCGGTTTCCTGAGACTGTGACATAAAGTAAACAAAATGATTTCACCAGCGTGTCCTCCAGTTATATTTTAATAAAAGACCTTCATTTGGTCAACTTTATAATGTTTCTTGAACCAAATCTCCATTTGGTAGTTTTGTGTACTGCAAGATTTCAACCTTCTTGTCTGTTTTCTTTAACTTCAGTTTTCTTTCTTTTTCGGGTTTGAAATCTTGAACTTTGATTTGCATCCAGGGTTTGTTCTTGATCCATCAAAGTGCAGTAAATTGAGTATGGAGGAAAAGAGAGAACTTGTGTATGAAGTTGCAGAATGGTCTCATGGTGCACCGGAACTGCTACAGTCGTGGAGCCGCCAAGAGATTCTGCAAATCCTCTGTGCGGAAATGGGGAAAGAAAGAAAGTATACGGGGTTAACAAAGCTGAAAATTATCGAACACCTGTTGAAAATAGTATCTGAAAAGAGATCACACGTTGACGAGAATGATGATGATATTATGATGAATCTTGAATCATCAGCAAGTGGTCATCAAAGGGCTGCAAAACGAAACAGGAAATCTGATCAGCCTAATCGTCTAAATGTTGCATCGATGGATGATTCTTTAATTAATGTTATTGATGTTGATTTGGCTGAAAATGATGTCAAATTCTGCAAGAATTCGGCTTGTAGAGCTAAGTTAAGTCAAGATGGGGCATTTTGCAAGAGGTGTTCTTGTTGCATTTGTCATCAATATGACGATAATAAGGATCCGAGTTTGTGGTTGATTTGCAGCTCGGATCCTCCATTTCAGGGAACTTCTTGCGGGATGTCGTGCCATCTTGAATGTGCCTTACGACATGAAAAATCTGGCATTCTGAAAGATAGGGAGAATAGAGGACTTGATGGGAGCTTCCTTTGTGTATCTTGTGGTAAAGTGAATGATTTGCTTGGGTAAGTTTCTTTCCATGTTTTTAGCTTTATTTCAAGAATTAGTTTACAAAATTTTGTAAATGATAATTATGAGTCCCACATTGGCATAGACTTTGATCGTTCTGCTTCAGTATATGTTGGAACCCTGTCTCTTCAAGGGCTCTTTTGAAGAGTAAACAATAGGGTTCCACATATTATCACATGCTATCAGAGCCAAACTCCTCTGCCTTGGAGAACTCACACACACTCCTAACCTTTGGTGAGGCTCGAGTCCATGACCTCTAGGAAGGTTGGGCTATCGGGTATTGCTGGGCCGATGGCCCTTTGGTTACTTCAGTTCAATATATGTCGGAACCCCCTTGACTCCCTAAGGGCTCTTTTGGAGAGTAATCTGAAGGGGTTTCACGACTTCTGGCAGTAATTATGTTGTAAACTCGATTATGATGTTTCCATGGATCTAAAACTTCTAAGCATATACAGATGTTGGAGAAAACAAATGACAATAGCAAGGGACACTAGGCGGGTTGACATCTTGTGTTATCGTGTTTCCTTAAGCCAAAAGCTTTTGAAAGGCACCCTACGGTACCAAAAGCTCCATGAAATTGTAAACGAGACCATGGAGAAACTTGAAGCAGATGTGGGCCCGTTGACCGGTTTGCCGGTCAAGCGGGCCAGAGGAATAGTCAACAGGCTCTCTTCAGGGCAAGAGATTCAAAGACTATGTGGTTTTGCAGTTGAATCCCTAGATTCAGTTCTATCCAACACAAGCTTTAGTGGTAAAATTTTCTATCCCTCTTTTTTGTTTTCAAACATTTTTGTTTGTTTGATTCTTTTCTCTCCATTCCAAAAAAAGCAGAGTTGACTTTTGAAGTCAAATGGACTAAGTTGACTTTAAGCTTTGTAAAAGTCAAATTTGAACTTAGAAATTAGGACCATGTTTGGTAACCATAAGCTAGCTTATTTTTTGAGTTTATTGAAAAAGTATCGTTTGGTTAGCTATAAGTAGTTGTTTAAATAAGGGTGCAAGGGCATTTTTCCCCACTTATTTCCAATTATGCCCCTCATTTTTTCCCAATTAAAATTTCAACGTGTCTGTATGGGTTATTTTATAACGTCTATCTAGTTTAATAGTTAGTTTTTATCATACATGACAAGGTTATCGGCCAAGAGCATCCACAGTGATGGACTTTTTCATTGAAGCTTTTTCCAAAAAAGTGGGACCCACGTGCAAAAACCAAGATCGTACACAAGCAAAAAGTTGATTTTTCTCATTAAAAGCTTTTTCACGTGCTTATGTGGCCGGAGAGCTTTCCAAAAAGCTCCAGTGTGAATGCTTTAACAACTAGTTTACCAGCCATCAGCTAGTTTTTCGGTTTACAACTAGCTTATCAACTGGTTCGCGAAACATAACCTAAGTTGTTAGACCTTAGAGCTCTACACAATTTCAAGTTCCAACCTTGCTAATGAATACTATGCAGATCCCAGCATCCTGACACCAGTTGTCAGGTTCGAAAACGTCTGCCCCACATCGATTTCCGTGATTTTGGGCTCTGGAGATCGATCTTTCATCGATAATGTGAAGGTGCATAGATACATAATGTGGCATCGCAAAACCGAAGACACAGATTATCCTGCAAAACCAACCTGCACATTGTTTGCACCAAATAGCACCAAGTTCTTACTCTCAGGTTTAATTCCTGCAACTCGATACGTTCTAAAAGTTGTTCACTTTGAAAGCACCCGCGAGTTGGGTAGCAGCGAAACCCAGTTTCAAACGACCGACAATGAGAAAATACCGACAAATCAAAGCCCAGCAACCAATTCTAGCAGCCTTTCTAATCCCTCTTCCGTTGAAGATGAAAACAACAACATTCTTGCTTACAAAAACACGAACGGGAACCAGAAAGACAAAGCTGCCATAAGCTCCGCTGATTTAGAGAAAGTTGCCATAACTTCTGATACTGTAAACATCATCAAGAACTGTTCACGAAATGAAGAAGACAACGGAACTAAAAATGGCAAAGATTTTGGTCCTTTGGCCCCTACTATTGCAGCTAAATTACCCATTACTCCCTGCAAGACTGAAAGCATAAAAGATGCAATCTTGGCAAGAAAAACCCGACCAAAATCATCACAGAAGAATCTTGATAACGGGTCTGAAGAAGAACCAGATGAGCAGCAGCAGCAGCAACAGCAACAGCAAGATGGTAGTTCATCAAAAAAGAGAAGTGAAGAAGAAACAGATGATCGGGATTTTGGGTATTACGTGAAGGTGATCAGATGGTTAGAATGCGAAGGGCATATAGATACGGGTTTTAGGAAGAAATTCCTGACTTGGTACAGCTTACGAGCGAGTCTACAGGAGGTTCGAATCGTAAAGGTGTTTGTGGATACATTAATGGAGGATCCAGCTTCACTTGCGGGGCAACTTGTGGATACTTTCTCTGATGTGATTACAAGCAAGAGATGTTCTTCTGCACCAGGGCTTTGCCTCAAGCTTTTCCATTGAAATCAATAAGGTTAGAAAATTCTAATCTGTGAATCATTTATTATAACTATTTTACATTCTTGATTTAGACTCTAATCATTCAAAGTTATATCATTATTACTGGCTAATCTTTATTGATGTGAGACTGTAAATATATCTAATAATCGTACCCCGAATCGTTAGTGTGGTCTTGTTGTCTTTCTGAAACACGTTCTTCTGAGAGAAAGTTCGAGTCTTGTTCGTATTTATTTCTTTCTTAGTCTGTTTATTGAGTTTTTCCAAGAGGTCCGGGCTCGCAACAGACCATGTGGCACTGAAGATAACGGTTAGGTTTTCAATAACTGGACTATAATAAGAGATGGTGGTTGCAGGTGTTCACGAAACAACCTGTCTACTTTTTGAGGTACGACAGTATGCGTATATCGCATCCGTGGACCTTATTTCGGGTGGGATATACCGAGTCAATTTGGTTTAATTACAGATAGCAACTTGTTTGCGTCAGTCCGCTATTCGTGCATCTTGAATAGAGCAAACTTCTCTTTATTTGCTACAATAAGTAGTCATTGCTTTCTTGAAAGTCTATTCATTTATAACATCGAACCTTACTGAACGAAACCAGAAAGAGGTTAATTATGCAATGTTGATCGGTTTCGGTTAAGAAATGAGACGATCCGCACTATGCGGGTCGGTTTCGATTGGATTAGTTATAAAAAGAGGTACTTTAACTGATTTTTAGGTTCGGTTTTTCAAACAAACCTTATCTGAAGTTGTATTCGTGCTTTCTTTAAAAGAAAAGTTAGATTAGCTGAATCACATGTACACGTAATTTCAATTAATTAGGAAATAACAATGCATTTACGCTACGTTATTTTCTTTAATTTCTTATAAATAATAGAGTAAGCTCGAATTTTGGTACTTGAGGTTTAGTGAAATCATCGAAAACGAGGCTTTATTTTATATAATAAGATATTGACGTATTGAAATTATAACTGGTACAGTTATCCAACCGTTCTTTTCACTTGATTGCATAAACGCTGACATCGTATAAGTTGGGAGTCTTCACAGAGACCAACCACTCTATTTTTTGGTCTACAGCTATCAACGTCTTTTAAATATAACTAAAGATCCAAGTTAATTTTTTAATAATTTTATCAGCCATATGGATAGTTCAATGTGTTCATCGGCAAATTGGCGTATTACCAAATCACGCTCTCCCTAGGTCTATTAGTGAACCTTCTCTCCTAGTAAACAAGGATCAGTTTTTTCGCAAGGTACGAAATGTAAGATTTTTGTATAATACGACTTTTAGACATGCTTTAAAAAGCCTATAAATTTACTATATATAGATCCTTTTATTAAAGAATTAGGTGGCGTTTGTTTTTTTAAGAGATGTTGAAGTCTGAAGTCTGATTTCACTTCTGATTTATAAGAGGTGGTCCTGAAGTCTGAAATCTAGATCAGTAAGATTGTTTGTTTTTACATCTGAATTCTGAAATATGAAGCGTTCAAATTAGTGCAAAAGTATAAAAGATAAATAATTTTTTTACAAAATTATAAAAGATAAATAGTTTTTGCTAGCAAATCTCTTCCAACTCCTAAAATACGAACCATTTGATAGAGGGCGGATTAAAATTAAGAGGTATTAAGAGATACATTTACCACTTAAAATTTTAGAAGACATTTAGAGTTTTTAAGCTCTTATTTCAAAAATAAAACAAACACTCTTAACACCCAAATATTTGAACAAATCAGATTTTAGAGGTATTAAGAGGTAATTTTGAAAAAACAAACAAGTCCTTAGTTTTTTTTATTCAAATATTTAGCAACACTTTTCACTTTTTTCTAAATTCCTTGCTAAAACGTACATTTGGTTATGTTTTGAAAATCCTCTTTCCAAATGCCATTTTTCTTATATTAATTATGTGTAGATTTAACCACAAGGGTGGTGTCTGATTAGTTTTAGTTTGGCTCCAAAAGTCAAAAGTACCAGGAGGTCCCAGGTTCAAATCCAAGGAGAAATAAAAATCCCCTTGTGGCCATGGAGGTTCAAATGCGGTGACTCCGGGATATCTGCAAAAGCAGGTGGTCACCCTAGGATTAGTCGGCTTGCATAACAGGTTATCCAGGTTAATAAAAAAAACTTATTAATAAATTTTATTCTATGGCATCTTTTATGGTAGGGGTGAGGAAGGTTTACAATTGGTTTTTGATGCACATATTAGGATAATATGATATATGGAATATTTTCGAATCTCTCTTTAAAAAGAATCTTGGGGGTTCCTACATATATACAGATTTAATGGATTCGTATTGAGTTGATGTGGTATTCTAATATACCTCTCAAACGGAGGTAAAAGAGTATCGAGTATTTAGATGCAAGCTCGTTCCTAACATTTTATAAGTCCTGGACGAACGTAAAGACATGGTCCACTGTAAGAAACAAGACTTTTAGTAATGACTTTTGTCGTTGCTAAAAGTTTATTTATCATTAGAAAGAGTATATAACTACAACATGTCGTCGCTATAATTTGTGTTGAAAACATGTCATCGCTAAAAGGTGCATCGTCAAAACTCAATTTTCTTGTAGTGACTCTCGGTAAGTATGAAAAAAATTCAATAAATGTTTTTCATTGATATAAAATTGAGTATAAGAAATGTTAATAATTTACTAAAGAAAGAAATCTTATTTATCTTTGTTATAAAAATATAAGAGAGTACTTAAATTGACGCATTTCTTATTAAGTAATTTGAATCCAAGAGTATATAAGATGTGGTTGATAATTTTTTGTAAAAACTAAGAATTTTTTTAGTTCATAACAAGAAATATGTGTTATTTTGATACAAAAAGAGAATTCATGTGAATGAAGTAATCATGAGGATCAATGAGAGATCAATAATAGAGAAAATTATTAAGATTTTCTTGACAAATAGACAAATGAGAATAGAATATGGAAGAAAAGTTGATCAATTGAGATCCAATAAAAATAAATAATGAATGAAACATATAATATGCAAGCTTAACAAATGGTTGTTTGAGCACTTAAATAGAATCTTGTGGTGTGGTGGAATCCCAATGAAAGATACAAAAGTCAAATAATTGATGAAAATTTTTAAATTCTATTTTCCTTCTTATTTTTGCTCAACTAAAATAAGATGTAAAGATTAAAAGTTTATGAAACATGACATGTATGAGAGACATTACTAAATACATCTAGTAGGGAAAATTTATTGATTAATTACAAAACCATGAAACTTGTCATAAATCATAAGAACAATAGATTGATTGTCAAACAATAGTAAAATATTTTTTGTAGAAGCAAAAATAGATAACAATAGTCAACAAAAACAATTAGAACAACATAACTATATAGCAATAGTCAATAGAAGCAACCACAAGGGTGGTGCCTGATTGGTTTGAACTTGGCTCCAAAGGTAAAAAGTACCTGGAGGTCCCAGGTTCAAATCCAATGAGGAAAAAAAATTCCTTGTGGCCACAGAGGTTCAAATACGGTGACTCCGAGCTATCTGCAAAGCATGTGATCGCCCTGGGATTAGTCGGCTCGCATAGCGGGCTAGATATCCAGGTTAATAAACAAAATAGTCAATAGAAGCAGAAATACATAAAAATATCCAACAAAAATATATAGCAATAACAAGCACATAATCTTAATGTTGAATTGTTGAAGCACGAAAACAGTCAAACATATAGAGATAACAATAGTCAATGTCATTGGATCTTGCTGGAGATAAAAAAAAAAACTAGAGAGACAATAAACAATAACATATATTGAATGACCAATTAATTTTTTTATTTTCTTCTCAATGCAATTAATTGATATATTTTTGGGACCTTATTATCTACTAAATTTTTTTTGCCTCTTATTATATACTACAATTTTTTGGGTTCCTTCAATTTATTAATTTTTTAGACTACTTATATATGTTAAGAGAAAATTTTTGGGCCCTAGGCATGCGCCCGTGCCGTCCTCCCCCAAGGACGGCTCTGCTTAGATGTGGTAGACGTTGATTCTTATGTGATTTTAGGACATATGAAACCCTTTTGAATCTATCTTTAATAGTGTCATTTTAAAGCAAATTAAAGGGGTGTTCCGACATAGACACAAATTTTATGCTGTGTGTCTAGCCGATGCAAGACTCCAACTATATATATATATATATATATATATATATATATAGAGAGAGAGAGAGAGAGAGAGAGAGAGAGAGAGAGAGAG